ATTAACTGAGGTTAGTCATGTGTAGTCATGGACTTGTACAATCCAAGGCTCCTCGTTGAATGTGTGATACTTACATTTTTTGACATTGTGTAGTGCTTTCTTTACTCATTAATTCTGGTGTTTCTATTAAAGACTGAAAGGATCTGTGGCTTATTTTAATATTTACTTTCAATATTGACTAGCTTTTATATGTATGTATTCAACACACATACAAGATGGGGGGTTAGACCCAAACTCTGACCTCCATCACCTGCAACTCCTGGGGGTCTAAAGAATATGTGCCAGGTTTGGTTTCCCAGACTTTTTCAAACAATGGTTTATAGATTAAACAAATTCAGTAGATTTGGGTGCATTTTTATAAGTTAGGTTGTGAAATTGAAGTGTTCCTGAAAAATCGATAAATTATGTCCTTAGAAATGTGTTGAATATTGTTTTTGGTGACGTTTATGAACTTAAGTAATTAGTATCTTTACAGATTTGTTATGTGAAACTTGATATTGATATTGCACTAATTTTTATTGTTCAATGAGACATTTTTTATGTGTATATTTTATAATTATGCAGAAATTATATGCTAATGCTTGAAACTGACTTTTTTCAATGAAAAACCTCAACATTCAAAACCGTTTGCATTACCTGGTGATTTTATTGAACTTTTTAATATTTATATCCTTTATGAAGAGAAATAAAATTTGTTTTCAATATTTCAGACAAGAAAACACAGAAAGATATTTTACTGAAAGCTGAACAGAAGGGCTTACTTCAAGGTGCGTAATATTATGAACTGTATATACATATGTTTGTATAGCTGAATCAAAATTGTCCTATATTTCTGTATTAGATGAGGAATCTTTAGAAGACACACAGACATATTCAGTCATTTAAAAATGAATTGACCAACCAACACAGTTTTTGTTTATTTATGATTAAGATAATATCGCACGTTTGTGGTTAAAGATTTCAGTAAGTGTGGAAATAGAAAAACAATTAGTATTCAAGTATGGTTGAGAAGGTGTGAGATGTGTGTTGTGTAACTATAGATTTCAATTAAGTGTGGAAATACAAAACAATTAGTATTCAAGTATGGTTGAGAAGGTGTGAGATGTCTGTTGTGTAACCATAGATTTCAAGTATATAACAAGTCTTGTGTTGTCTAAATGTAAAGCTGTTGAAGTGAGACTGAAGAAATGTTAACAGCTATAACAAGTCTTGGGTTGTCTAAAGCTGTCGAAGTGAGACTGAAGAAATGTTAACAGCTATAACAAGTCTTGTGTTGTCTAAAGCTGTCGAGGTGAGACTGAAAAAATGTTAACAGCTATAACAAGTTTGTGTTGTCTAAAGCTGTCGAGGTGAGACTGAAGAAATGTTAACAGCTATAACAAGTCTTGTGTTGTCTAAAGCTGTCGAGGTGAGACTGAAAAAATGTTAACAGCTATAACAAGTCTTGTGTTGTCTAAAGCTGTCGAGGTGAGACTGA